AAATTTACTTCTGGAAAAAAGGCAAATATCGGCTTCATTACGCAGACGAAGTTCTTGGTCCAAGTACGAAATGTTCGAGAGCGTTTTCTGACGTACTCCCTAACGCCAGTCAAGGTGGCAATTTAGGACCAAGAGGTCCAAAAGGTTAAAATGACGCCCGTCGAGTCGCGTGTGTAGTCAAGACTATGGTGACGGTAGTGACGTTGAATGTAATACCTTAAATTGTTGCTTTTCATTCTTTTTTGTGACTTATACGGACTTAGTTAATCTGCGAACGAGATGTGTCTCAAAAGAAAACTTGTTCAAAAATCCGATAGTGTAACATTGTGACTAGCGAAAATGAGACCTATTTAGATAAGGAAAGAGAGAACTGAATTTGCTGTGCATATCCTCTGAATTTGCTATCTGACTCTGATACTGATTTTTTCCTTTTCAGATAGAGATTATAAAATGACAAAGCTCGACGAACGCATTAAAATTTGATTGCACTATGTTCACAACACTGGTCTGGACAGGCGTTCTCACTCGACTTTTTCGGCGACGGACGTCGTCATTCCGTCGAAAAGTGGCACTTTGCCCATACTTTTTTGACCTTGAGCACTCATCCGAGGCCAAAAACGGACCCCACTTTTTAGCCGTCTTTTGTTTACCTCAGTCTTTTTCGAAAAATTTCGACTTTTTCGAAAAGACGCAAAATCTTAGCTGCAGAAGGTCGCCGAACCTTTCGAATGTTATTTTCGGAATCAGTGGATGACAGTGGGTATAGAAAAGTGTATTTCGATTTTTCTAAGCTGCGAGAAGTCATTCAAAAAAATTAATTTCCAAAAGGTGCTCAAAAAGGCATCAAGTCGTTTCCGTAAAGCGCTAGACACTTGAATTTGACGCCATTCGAACTGCAAATAAAAATAAGTGTTCTTTCCTCTCGAACGACTTTACTTTTACTAGACTTTTCCATTGGTTGCAGATACGCCGATGGAACTCTTGGTCACTTTTCTTTATGAAACTAAGGATGATCTCTGATCATTCATACATCATTCGATGGGTCGTGAAACGTTCCACAATATGTGTTAATAAGAAATTTAACAAAGCCTGGCAGCGGTGTTTGGGTATTAAATACTGCGCCGCGTTAACCTAGAATGACTCCAGAAATTGTTCTCTACCTTTATTTTTCATTGTTTTCGTGGACCGTAAGAGCTAGAACAAACGTGAAAAAAGATTAGAATAGGTGACAGAATTTGGAATTTGCTGTGCTGTATAAAAGGGTTCTCTCAAAGCTCTCTAAACCAGGGCCTCTGGAAAACCAAAATCTCAGAAAACCAAGTCCCAAAGTTTAATCTGGAAATTCGTTGCAAAATTCCATTGTATAGAGCAAACATTTCTGTAGGAAGTCGCCGAGCTCTTTACGACATTTTTAGCGAATCAGCTTCAATTTACGGACTGTCCATACCAGCAAAACTAACCGGAAAACAAGATAATACACGCTTAGGGCCTTCCGTAAATTGAATGCTGACTCACTAAAAAACTGTCGTACATGAATTTTTGAGATGTCGCTTGGATCTGATTTTGTAGAGAACACCTTTACTATCCATATAAGAAAAAGAAACTGACAGATTCCTATGTAAAACTTTGGAGCTATAAACTGGTGTTCCAGAGATCCACTTAGAAATCCTCCAGAGATCAGCGCAAAACGTTTTGATTTCTACATATTATTACGTGTCCCGGTCTTGGCTACACGGTAGAGAAGATCCGATCTCGATAGCTTGTTCCGTTCTCGAGTTATTCATGTCGCAATCACCCACATTACATTTTGAAATGGATAGTAGTACTTGAAGTTGAGCTATGGCCTGATTTTTCAAAGGTCTCTTAAAAAGCTAAATGCTATTTATGTACTTCATTAAATTCAACATGTTTCGAAACCTCTACACTAGAAACTTGGCTTTATTCGCGCGTGGTATAAGTTAGAGAAGAAACAGAAAAATACGGTTACGGGACATTTCTTTGTATTTTCTACCTTTCTCTCTAATAAAGCAATCTTAGTCTTTGCTATTTATACAGGATCATCGTGTGAGTAGACAACACTTATGGTGAAAAAAGAAACTTTGTATCTAGCCCGGTTGAGGCGCGGTATAGTAGGTGGTTACAGGACAAATTGTCAGTCAAACCTAACATAACTTCAGTAAAGTGGGAATTACTTGGTAGTGAAAAGTGATAGAAACGTCGGATTTTCGCTGTTGTCTGTTCTATATATTTAGTCAACTTCTGGCATATAAAGAAAACAAATTGAATAATTTACCAGAGCTATCACTGACCATGTGGTTACGGAACAGAAAAAGTAATTTTTTTAGGATCACAAATTCGGAACAAATTTGTGAAAAAACAGAACAATCGGTAACAAAGGTAATAATGTAGCTGACGAATAGAGCAAAGAAAATACTATAAGAAAAAGAGAAAAAAAATATTGCTCCACATAAAATAACAGAGAAAATAATATTTACAAAACCAAACGTATTTGAATCACCAGAAAAACAACATCAAAACAACGGTCAAACATGGATGTTTTGCTTCACGGTTAAACACAGAAAAGTGTGAAGTTATTATTTCGCAATTGCTTTGCATCCAATGGTTAATAGCCAAAGAAGAATGTAACTGTCACACATACTTTATTTCAGTAAATTAACAACTATATATAGTATATTTGAGCTACAGGAACATTCCTTTGGGAAACTGGGAAAACCAGCTATTGTACAAGAGAGAGAGAAGAATAGAATAGATATGAAAAATACCCATCGAAGAGTGATCAGAAAGAGAAAACATATATCATAAAGAGCAGAAGAGTGAATACATATAACAGAAGAACAGAAAGGGAAAATAACCATCGCATGAAGAGACGAATATGTGTACTGAAAGATAACCATAGTTGATATGGGATTTTATACTTCCTAACAAAATTCGTACTTGCAGCGATTATAAGTCTAACGTTGTTGAATACATGCGAGAAGTCCGAAAGTAATTTCATCAAGGCTAAGAAAAGAAACGCTTGGGATCATTTACTTCATTCGGACGGTACTATTTTTATCAGAATCACTCATATGATCGTGTCAACACTGAGAAAAAGAGAAAAAAAATAGATTTATTTTTCTTCTCTCTTTCCATATGACATTCTACGTTGTTTCTTTTACCGTCCGGTGTCATCGATGTAAGAACATTTGGTCAGTTTTTATAGTTTTTGATTTGAGTGAGAAGAGGTGTGTCTCAATCACATACTGATAATCCATTAGAATACATAAAATTTTAAGCTCTGTTTGAGTTTGAATGTTGGGCATTTCGGCAAAACATCTGTTGTCAGAAATAGAAAAATTTAATTAAGATAAAAATTCGCTTTTCGACTTAATTATAAAATTCTAAGTTCTAATTTTGGTCCCATTAGACAGAGCACGTGAAATTACACATGCACAACTATTTTTGGACATTTCGTCCATTTTCTTGAACACTTCAAACACCAAATAGAAATGTAAACTCATACTTTTATCTTAGAATAGCTTCTGAGAAAACTACTGAGATTTTCCAAGTTAAGGTGCCGCTACGGCAATGTTTTAGTGGATTTTAGATTTCGTTTTTTTATACCTCATTTGATGCAGTTTCTTTCGCTGATCCAATTGGCCAGAACAAACTAAATGTGTCGAGGTATCTTTTGTTTGTGTAATGTATTGTTAACATTCTTCAACATCATCGAACAGTTTGTATAGTCGACAATTTCTCGAAGTCTTTCAAGGCTAACCGTCGTGCCAACTTCGCTACTACCGTTAATATTTTACACAAACAAAAGATACCTCGGCATATTTAGTTAGTTCTGGCCAATTGGGGCAGATTCTAATTCCTAAGATTTATCATTTTAAAAACATTTTGTCAATTTACATTTCTTGTGAGAACAAAGAATATTATCAACTATGGGCTTCCCGTTATTCCAAGGTAAATTCATTTCGAAGTTTACGCTTAAAAATTGTGTAGCTCTTTATTCTTCTTATTCATGGATATTGAGCTTATTTTAGATCAAAAAAGTAGGTATCGAACTAAACGACTTGTTGGAAAGCTTAATGCAGGATGTTCAAGAATATCTGAAACATAAAAGTAACACATTTTTTGATCCATTTGGCAAACAAAATCACACCACAGATGATTCAGATTGGACTTGGTGGAAAGGGTTAATTGATGTTTTATGTTATCTGCCATATCCTAAGGATTATTGCCAGAAATTTGTTAGTTCGTTAAAAGCTTATTATGCGGGAAATACAGCACAAATTCGTGTATTAGAAGAATTTGAGCAATATTACTCAAGAGACAGAACTATTTGGTATTATACGCGTGATACATTTTTATATCGACTTATGAATAAAGCTTTACGTCAGCGTAACATTGAACTCACGTTTTTATTCGGATTTTTTTTACAAGATATGTATCGACAGTTAAACTGTGAACATAAAATGTTTAAATTAGCGAATTTAGAAAATCCAGTATTTAACGTATATCGTGGACAACTTATGTCACGTAATGAAATTCAGCAACTTAAATACAATGGTTATATTTTAAATAACAGTTTTTTGTCAACAACCTTCGAGCGTTCTTTAGCATCAGTTTTTCTAAATTCGTCTGCAGAACCTGAGGACGAATTCCAAAATATCTTATTTGAAATTGAAATTGATATTCGTGAAAAGTCTCGTCCATATGCTGATATTTCAAATTTAAGTCAGTTCGCAAATGAAAGTGAAATTCTATTTATGATTGGTACAGAATTTCATATAGACGATATGTCTTACGATGAAAATGAGAAAACGTGGATAGTTAGACTAAAATTGACACATGATGATGATGGTGATAAGAAATGTAATAAAAATTTTGAGAGTATAACAAAGAGAACTTTAATGGACTGTGTGAATCTACTCGACGATTATGAAATTACTGATGCGGCAGTTGAAGAAATAGATACTATTTTTAATGAATTGATTGCTTTATTTCCGTCAGGAAAATGGATTTTAGCTGCTAAATTCTACCGCCTCGCTATAAAACAAAATTCGGTGAAAAAGAATTACACTGTTGTACTAACAAATTACCATCAAGCATTAAAAATTTGGCGTGAATACATAAACGATGATGAATTAAATTCTTTCATGGATATTGGTAAGATTCATTCCGGCATTGGTCATTATTATGAATATCAGCTAGAAATAAAATCTCTAAGTAAAAAACATTATGATCTAGCAATCAGATATTATCAACTAGCAATTGAAAAAACAGCCACAGATTATGAAAAAAAACATATATTTAATGAATTAAGTTCATTATATGGATCTAAAATGAAATTTAGCACTGATGAGATTATTAGACTAAAAAATGGCTTAATGGCTATAAAATATAAAGAATTAAGTTTTCAAATTATACTTAAATATCGTTCACCTGATTATGAGGATGGTTATTGTATCAGGAATCTAGCTGATCTTTATAAATCGATTCAGAAATATGATGATGCATTAACTAGTTATGAAAAAGCTTTGAGAATTTTCCTGCAACAGCCAGAAGTTGATTTATCGTTTGTTACAATGACTTGTAATGCAATAATTAGCATCTACATTGAACATAAACATGACTATCATTCAGCACTTAAATATCAGTTGATAATAAATGAATATAAAAAGGAACAACCACTCCCGCCAATAGAAGAGAGGCCAACAGTCGAAATTAAACTACATCCAGACACTGGATTAGACGATAAAGATGCAGAAATGATTGTAGCTATTGAAAAAAATTTACCTAAATAACATCTGCCTATGGATATTTGATTATCGCATTAAATTTCTATCAAAAAGAAAGACTTTTACAGTAAAGAAGAGAAATTATTCAAGAAAAAGATGAGGACGATACAAACGTCTGAAGAAGAATATTCGAAACGCGTTGCACACACACACATTCACTTGTTCATACCTTCTTTTTCTCTGGAATAAAAAAATACTTAAAAAAGCACAAAAAATCTTGTTCTTACGACTCATCGATTCGTAGGTTCTCGCTCTTTCTCTCTCTCATTCTCGTCGAATCGTAAGTTCTCCCATCCTTTATCTCTCTCTTATCCCATCTCGTCGATTCGTAAGTACCCCTCTTCTTGCTCTCTACACAACACACATATATCGACTTGTTTTTGCATTTGAAGCCACACTCAGATTGTTATGTCAGTCGTGACTAACATTCCTCCATCCTCCTCTTTTCTGTTTACATTTCTCATGACCACAAAGAATGTTGACTCAGTCTTATTGAGTCAACATTCTTTCTTCATCCATATATATAGTGTTCGTTCCTACACATCTAGTATTTAGTGGCGATAAGAACGAAGATGTCAACGATTGGCTAGAAGTAATCAATCAAAAGTTCGATGCGTGTGAATTAACTGGTCCTCAACGTCAAAAATGGGCAGTTGCTTTCCTGTCTAACGATGCATTGAAGTGGCACACTCGAAACGTAGTGAAATTGGAAACATGGAATGATTTTCAGACAGCATTAAAAGACAATTTTCCACCTCCACCTGCACCCTCATCATCTATTATATTTCACCAACTCCTATCTCGTAAACAAGGTAATACAGAATTATTTAATCGCTATTATGCTGATATAATTAAACTTTGTCATCGATATGATCCATTAATGTCTGATGATACACGGTGTGATATCCTCAAATCAGGAATGAATAAAATATTACTTGATAAATGTTGTGGAAAAGGATTACTTCTACTCATGAATTACGTGAATTTATTGAACGCTTCGAACAAGATCAATAATTCATCCACTGTCGTTTCCCACCACCATCGTCATCATCACTTAAACCTTCCAATTTACGTCCTCTATTTAGTCATTTTTTCTGACATAATGAAAAATTATATATTTTTCAAAACAATACCATTGGATAGCCCGTCAAATTTTCCGTTAAGTGAGCTGGTCAGCATATCTAGACAGATTGGGTCAGTCATTACAGATATGCAAAAGAAGCCTTTGGGCGTTATATATGCAGTGCAGTGTGTCATAATCATAAGAACTACTTTCTTTTTGATTTTCCAGTGAAAGCTGGAGCAAATCTGAACACTGTTTTGAATAGCCAGAAGATTTTTCTATCAGACGAGGTTCATATCGTCATTCTATGAGAAAATTGATAAAAGGAATTCGGGAAAACCTGACCGATAGAAAGCCAAGTCTTTGGTTTTTTTGTCCGAAAATTTTGCAAACCATATAGCCTGATAGAGCAAAGAATTCTGAACAAAACAGGATATCTGCCGGCTACCTATAACGATTTTTCACCGGAATATTTTGGTAATTTTCACACCCTTGTAGCCATTTGTAAATCGGATGCAGTTGGGTGAAAAAGAATTAAAGGTAGCCGGGACGTCAATATTTGATCGCATTCTTAAACTAGAAAATCCGTCAAGTTTACGCAGCCCCACAGAAGCTTTTTCTCTTGCCATTTAACGTCTCCAGTCTCTGCTTCACTAAAACATCTAACCACGACATCATATTATATAAACGCCTGAAAAATCCTCAGTGATATTCCAAATAACTGGAAATTAATTCCATTTTTCGAATGTCCAAAAGTCCATCTATATATAAAGTCGCCGAGGAATCTCTAGACTGAAAATCGCTGAGCATTTCCCATAATTCTAGAAAATCAAACTGGAAATTCGGCTTCGAATGTCAACAATCTTGGGTTTCTAGATTTCTAATAAAATCTATTTCTAGAATCTAGAAAATCCTCAGGGAACTTATGTATGGACTTTTTGAAAATCGCCGAGCATTTTCTATAAATATTCCCCACATTACAGTGTATGACAGAAAGAAACTTTTTAGATAGCCTACAATACTGAACAACTGCGGGACCATTCCAGCGCAAAGGCTAAACTTTAAAAGCAACTTCGCTCTTAAATTTCAACATCACAAATTATAACTTTTCTTGAGATTTCGATTAGGATATGAATGAAAAAGGTTGGAAAACTAATCGTTTCTACATTTACTAGATAAGCGGCAGCATCGTATCAATTGATCATCACGGAAACAAAGAGGCTATTTTGAAAATGGTTTAGATTCTAAATTTTGAAGATAAGTCAAAAGTCTTATTTGGAACTAAATTAGTCAAGCCATCCTTCGTCCAGGCCCATGGAATACCATAATTGGTCCCTCACTGAATTCCCACACTACAGGAAAAGACGAATTAGAATATGTATACTGCTTCTTCTCAAACCGTCCGATGTAAATTGACCCGATTCGCTATGAAAAACGTCAAGCATTACGCTCTGTGTTTTTTCCTTAAAACTGAACGACAAAGCTTCATTTTATTGTATCTGTGGAATGCTTGGCCACGCATAACGGTAAAAAGATTAAAGTGCGTTAGTTTTTTCGAAAAGTAGACTATAGTGTGGAAAACGAATCACAGAGTTACACTTGCCTAAGTCGACATTTAATGATCCTACACGTTCCGAATAATAGTATGTTACAGGAAGCATAGCAAAGAAAAAGAGAAGCTTTCAGAAATATAATCCCAGAATGTCTAAATTCTTTTTCAATCAAATTACTTATGACAGCTAACAGATTGACGGCGACGCGTATTGGGTAGGACAAAACATGCTAGATGCTATTGCCTTCTGGATTTCTTTCGTGTTTCCCATACATGTTCGAGCTAATATTTTTTTGTCAAAAATTCGACATTCAACTTTATACAAATGAAAACGTCTAAGCACTCCGATACACATATAAAATACATTTCTCAGTTTAGTTAATTGATTACTTATACCATACATAAAAAGATTCATAAATACCTAGAAATTTTCACCGGTCTACAAAATATTTTGATGGTACTTGACCGAACACTTCATCATCCAGACCATTTCTTATTAAACATACACTAAACAGCAACTTGCTGTACTATAGATTCTTCTTTTTAATATCATATTCGAACAAGATGATATATCTACACGTGAAAATGAACATGAAAACAGATGGCAAAGAATAACAACGCACACATACAGAAACATCTAAGTATTAGTATTTCGTTGATTTCTTAACGATTTATTATCGCGCCCATAATAGAAAAAATTATAAACCCACCCGATGATTCTTCAATCACACCCGTTGTTTCAGATGACGTAGATCACAGTATATTAGGTACGTGGCTTATGGATGTGAATGTATCGATGTAGCAAAACCGATTCGTCGATTAGTGTAATCAAATACAATATAGACTCCATTGAAGAAACATTGCCAAATATCCAACTTCTATTGGTTTGTCTCCTTTCGTTTGAAGACAGAACACTAATACTAGTAAAGCATGTATTATAAACTGTTGACCGAGAAATATAGATTGAACTGTTGAATGTAAATAATTTGTTAGCGATGATTATGGTTACGTTAGGCAATGTCGACACAGATTCACAATTAACCTCAAACTACAACGAAAAACAAATAAAACTAGATCAGAACTACCATCTTTGACCATTTATACTGGACCGAAAAACAGTATCTATCCCTGCCATAGAAGCAGCTAAAACAGATTAGATGTTGCAAAATGCTGCTGATCCAATTCAGTGTCTGCAAGAGTATAAATAAAATTATCCCAAAATCGCGTCACTCCGAATCATTCTATTTCACGTTTCCACAATGCAAAAATGAGAACTGGACTCATACCCGGTGGCCCGATGAACCACGATAGTCATAAAGTGCAGATCTGTTCTGCTCATACCATTCAGACGTGTTATTAACACCCATTAACACATCCAAAGGTACTAAATCGGGTGAAATACCCAATAAGTTGTGTATCCTGATCACTTCATCGACTGGTCCAAGAATGTATTCTGTTCCACTGTCAATGAGCGTCTGAGAACAGTCATTTGCGCAGAACGTTCTATTATCAACTTTAAAGCTAAAACGAAACAGAGCGCTTTTCAAATTTTCTTCTTGAGTCAAACAGAAGTCATACCCATCAATTGAAATTCCTACACATCGGCAAGCATTGCCTTCGCATAAACAAGATCTCCGCTATACTTATCTTTCTTCACACCACAGAATGTAATTTCCCCCATATTGGTCTCCCATCTAAACTCAAATCATCGAACTTCTGTGTAGGAACTTCGTTTATGATGGACGTAATACGTTGGCCGGGTTTACGTCAAAATGTCACGAAATACTATAGTATACGTCAAATTACTAGGGCTGTGACAGTTACCAGTTACGTTAACCATCGTTACTCGGTAACGGATAAGCAGTTACCGTATAAGTAACGGTAACGACCAGTTACAAGTAACGGTAACTGTTCAGTATATCTTGCAAGAGTCAAAGGTGACAGTTATTTCACCTATATATATATATATATATATGTCACCTATATCCTATCATCGTTTTATCCACTACATATGAAGAAATGCTCGGCGATGTCTATCACGATAAAGCGGAGACTACTTTTTTTATTGTGCTTCAAAAAGTGAATAAACGACACAACATAAAATAAACAATGTTTCCAGTAAACAATGAAGAATAAAGAAAACATGAATTTTAAATTTTGTCTTTTAAAAATAATGAATATTTGATTGTTGTTGGCGATAATGAACAACGATTCTTCCTTGTAATATATGCAGCAACAGAGAATGCAGATTCACTTGGAACAGTTGTCATAGGAATCTGAAGAAATTTCTTGGCTATATATGATAATATTGGTAAACGTTGTTCATGCTCTAACCAAAAGGTTGATAGATCATAATCAGCTTTTGACAATCCAACATAAATTGGAATTTCTTGTGTCACTGCTGCTCCCTGTGTAGATGATCGTTTTGTTGCCATCGTTGGGAGGGGTAATGTTGTTGCTGCTGGCATACTACATTTTCTCATCAATATTTGCATTTTAGTAATAGGATTTAATGTTGATTTTTCTGATATTGGTAGTGGTGCAATTTTTATAGATGACTGTGATGACCAGACATGATCGATAATGCATTGTTGTGCTGACGACTTCTCTTGGATTGACATTTCAAGATGGCTCTCCAGGTTAAGAAACGCAGCAATCTAAAGAAAAGAAGCAAAAAGATGTTGTTAATAAGCTGGTTTCAGTTTAAAACAAAGGAAGTTAAATTGTTGACTGATTATAATGTATACATACCAACATAATATTTGATTGGTTTTGATTTATTTGTTATTTGAAATAGTACTTAAATTTTTCTAATATACGTCGTTTAACATAGTTTTCAGATGAATCTGTTGATTTCGTCTCTAACAGAAATTGTATCGATTTCATAATATTTAAAACGATTGATGATGTTGAATAAGTACTCCCTGACAGAAGTTCAGTTGCATCCTGCAGGGGATCTAAGATGTTACTCAACGTTTCAATTGCACGCCATTCTTTATTCAGTATTTTTAAATGCTCAACCTTTATTGACAATGGTGAATACGCATGAAAACCGTTGATTATTTCTTTGAATAATAGCAAACGTTGTAACATTTTAAATGTAGAATTCCATCTAGATTTTACATCTAATATCAGTTCGACCTTCTTTTGTCTATCATTTACTTGTTTTCGTATTTCATTTGTTAAGACCGATGATTTTCGTATCTTTCGGATATATTTACGGCATTTCTCGATTAATTCAGCACTTTCAGGTGCTCTGCATGGTTTATCATGGTTATCAATTTGTTTATCTTCATCGGATTGTTGTTCGTCATTATCAGTATCGGAATAATCCCCTTCATCGCTATCCGAACTATTTTGTGATTCATCAGTTGAATTGAGGTCTTGTGTGTTAGTTTCATCTTCTTCACAACCAGATGTTTCATTGCTTTGATTTCTAAAAGAAACCCAAATGTTATTGTTTTGTGGTAGTTTGGACAAGTACACTAAACCACAAAGTAGAATTTTCCTCTTAATTGAACGAAAAAATTTGATCATTGGAATTTCAGAGATGCTTTAAAATCTCTATAACTGGGATTATTTAAACGATCACACATTCTTGGGTCCTTGAGCTCGGTACAATTTCTGATAGTATCAAAAATTTCAACTGCTCCAATAGTCCTCAAATTCCCTGTTTCTAGACAAATGTACCTTCGCAACGAAGGTGATTCTCACCGAAAAATAAAATTTTCCTGCGAGTATTAAGTATGTAATCTATGGATTTCCCCCCGAAATAATGTTTCTAGTGAATAGAATAAAATTACTCTGCGTTTTTTTGTTGTTTTTGTGGCCATAAACATAAAGATTTTTGAATTGTAAGATTTAGTGCATGAGCGCAATAATAAATATGAGAACCAAAACCGTCCTTTGCAGCTAATTTCATATTACTTCCATTATCGGTTTTTATCGATATAATTTTATTTTGTAAATCATATTGTTGAATAACACGATTTAAGTGTGAGTTTAATCGTTTTGAATAATGTTGCCCGAGAAAACGTCTAAAACTGAGCACTGCTGATTTAATTGTAAATTCTTTAACCATGAAATGTACTGTTACACAACAATAAGGTGAACGTCGACTACTGGACCACAGATCACATGTCAACGACTTGTTATCAATTGAACGTAATTCATCTTTCAATTTCTTTCTTCATCCATATATAAAGCATGTAGATGACGTTTGACTGTACGACTACTTGGTCCGTAGTAATTTGGTGTAGCTTCTCTCAAAAATGTTTGCATTCGAGATTTTTTAAAATCGTTAAAACTCCTACCATCACGAATAATGCATTTTATTGCAGCTTTATCTAAGGCGCTCTTGTTGAATGCCCGAACACGTTTCGACGATTGAAGTGTTGATTTATAAGTTAAATGTACTTTTCCGTGTTTACTACCTAAATGTTTTCGAACATTTGCGGTTGAACCAACACCATCTTTATATGTCTAAACACAGAAACAAAAATGGAATTGGATTATAGGAAAACTTAATTTTTCCCGAACATTATAAATAAAGACTACGCTTCTAAACCGCCGTGCGCACAAGTATTCTCGTTAAACTAACTCAATCGTGCGGTCTTCATCTTGTACTCCGAGTTACCTTTTGATATCTATGCAATAATCATCTTTTGCCTTCTGAAGCTTGAATCCCTAGTCGACTCTCCCCCTCAAAGTCCCTGTCAACTCCCCATTCACTGTTTGTTTTGCAGATAGACAATATATAAATATAATATAGTTCTATGATAAAATTTTACGAATTTTCTTCTAGTAAGTCAACTTTAATGTGTCAACCTTCGATGGCTGATATGTGCTACACTGATACCAGTGATGGTACCTGGCACTTTATTACTAATTAGTTATATGAAATTATAAAAGATAGACCAATAGAACTACGTGTCCCCGGGGATTTTTAGGGGGACTCCCTGGGGACTTTCTTGGAGAGTGTCGATTAGGGATTGTTTAGAAAACCAACGTTCTTGTCACATGAGGAAATTGAAAAAGGATTATCGAAATAGAATGCTAAAATACTAATATCAGATTTCTTAGGTGCACTGCCCATTCAAAACTAGTGACTCGTTTTTAAGCTCATGTTAATAACCAAAACAATCTCTAGTGTAAGGTGCCAGCGATTGAAAAAAAGAGCATGATTTTTTCTTCGTTTTTTTAGAAGCAATTCAATCTTAGATTTTTCCAAGTCATTTTTTGATGAAATTCGAAGACGTTATATGTGAATCTTGTCCTTTATTTTCCATTATATCTCCTTTCTTCTCAATTGAAAAAACGAAAAACTGATCTCCTTCGGTTGGCAAAACTTACATTATGCAAAGGCGTCGAACATAACCGTTATTTACCTTGTCACATAATAAACATAAAAATTCAGTTTGATCTAATCGTTTAGCGAATTCTAAAACAGGAGTTGGTTTTCGCCGTGCTTGTCGTGTTTGCATTGGAATCGGATTGTTACTACTAACATCACTTCCATCATTTGTCATCTCAGCATTCGAAAGGTTATTATCACGTTTACTTAGGTCAACTATTGCACGTGTCGATGGATTATTCCTTGATATTGATACTGGTGTTGGATCTCTTATTGTTGATGTTTGAACCAATAAATTAGGCTGAGCCAATGGATTACTCTGTATATGTGCTAATGTCTGATGTTGTAAAACAGTATTAGGGGATTGATGAGAACGACTTTGAGAACGCGTTTGTGGTCTATGTATTGTACTATTTGATCTAACCGTGCTTGATGAACGTGACCGATCAGCAGTATTTTTAACCATAATCACACGAAATACGTTTATATAAGTATAAAAATGTTGAAATCAGAAAACGTACGTAAAAAATGAAATGAAATTTATCTTTGTTTTTCGAGAACAATCCGCTAGAGCGTGTGCGAATGCAACTGTAAGGTCATGACACCAAGCATTGTTTACAAAATATGTAAAATCATAGTCAAGACCATAAGCATATTTTTCCGGCGATTAATGTGATGTTTCTTTGATACCTAGACATCCACAAAGTCAGTCATTTTTCGAGCAAAAGCGTTTTACAGTATTTTTCGTTTTAGCCGATAAAAAATTGTTGTTCTATATATATTTTTTTCGTTGATAAAAAGAAACAACAATGATACTGTAGTTTAGCTCGTCTGCTAATTCAAGAACATCTTCTACTTGGATTATATTTCTGGCATTGTAGTTTTTGTTTTGTTTGAATTTTTGTCTTAAACCTTTTATTGGCATCCATTTTTTTTTTGTAAATTTTAAAGTAAAATATATCGGATTTTGTGTTTGCTGCCGTAAAGACTACCCTTTGCTGTAAAATAACTTTTTTGTAAGATATTTAGAATTGAAAATAAAGAGTTTAAAAATAAAAGATTACGAGGCTTAAAACTTGAACTATATTACAAAACTATCTCCTCGAACGAAAAAATAAGAAGCTCATGTATTTAAGACTCTGACATTATCGCGTGACATTCATTTAAGTTACGTCGGAGATCGAACTAGAATTATAGCTGCAAGCTTCACGCATCTGATTTTTTTATTGCGCTTTCGCTATTTGATATTGCAAAGTCCCTATCTGATGTACGTCCGTGTGTCTCTAATTTACGATATCGAGACTGATATGATGTTTAATAATCAAACCCAAGAATTACCAAATTATCGCTGTTAGATAAAATCAAATAAAAATGACCGTTACGGAATTTCAACTTTTTTGGCTCTTCTTTGCAGATGGTTTGGTATATATCTTTTCTGTCGCAGAACTACTTACCAAGCTCTGATTTCCACATAGAGCGATAGTTTGAGGTGCTGTTTATCCAATGCAACCAAAATAAATTTTCAGAGTTAGAATAAATCTCCCATGTTACTACTGTTCGAAGGTATACTTCTATCGTGCGCGAGATGGTTATTGACATAACGGAGGACGGCAAAAACGTCACAGAATGCACCCGTGCATTGTACGGCACCAGAACGTTACAGGATAGTGCCTAGTCGTTTAGAAACAGACTGGTAAGCTCGCATCGCTTCCCTCTGATCTAACAGATTCAGATGTCTGTGGACTACATTTCATCATACATGGATGGCGTGTTTGATCCATGATGTAGTTGAACGGGTGCTGTTGATGGTGGAATGACTGTTAACTGTAGTTCAAATGCCATCGACGGCCATAGTGTAACTGGAAAATATAACTGGAATTAATGCAAATTTTTGCTGATAATCACGTTGATATTTATATGTTTTCATATAATCTCTAAAGTCAGTTACATTCAAATAAAATCGTCTATATAATGAATTAAATAGATCATTAGAAACAAATATATGTGAAATAAAAATGTTAATATAAACACAATAATAAATGTTGTTATAATACCGGGTGTCCGGAAATTCATCTACCAAAAAGAAAATTTAATATTTCGGTCATTTTTCAACTAAATCGAACAATTTTTTTTTTAAATGAAAGAGAAATGTTCAAAGTTTTATCTTTGTTCCAGATCAATAACATGTCACATTCTTTAGAAACTAAAATTCAAGTAGTTATCCTAATGGCGAAATATGAGTCTCCTGTTAT